TATATATATATATATATATATATATATATATATATATATATATATCTATTGATATATTTAAATATTGATGTATAAGGGTTTTAGAGTTTAGGGTATATATGACCCACAAGCGCCACGGGCGAACTAAGGTGGGTGCCCGTTGTAACGCAGCCACAGTATGATATACCAGACGAGTGTTGTACTACAGACTGCGCTCTGCATTGTCGAGCTCAGTCCGGTTGTGCTGGTTTTGCAGTGGGAACTCAGCGAGTCGTCATCCCGCAGGTCCTGCCACAATGGCATGACTACTCAACCCGTATCCTCCATAGTCTTGTCTTATCTGATCGGCAAATTCTCCATTGCCTAGCCACCGGCAGTGCGCATGCACCTGTACCGTGGCGTTCCTCTAACCAGGGGTGCTAAAGAAGGCTAGAATGCCCACGAGCAGCAACACAACAGGCAATGTTTATTCATGTTAATGTTAACGATGAAGTACCTTTACTGCCTACAATTGGTTTTTAATCAGTTACAGTTATAGTTTTGACTAATAGTGTTCAATAATGGTCATGGTATGTCACTTTGACAACAGAAAGTATGGTCTTTGCAAGTGCGGTCGCCAGTGTTGTATAATTCGTTTGAAGCTTGGTTGGTACGAAGGATGACGTTTTATCATTTATATCACTACACACGCGGCACTCTCTCGAGTTAGCAATCGGTTATAAACAACACCACATGACACACAAATCAAGACCACGGACATGTGACATGTGACATGACAAGCTCCCATCAATTATCTGACCATCAACTAACCAACGTTTGCAAACGGACAAGGATACAAGCCATACCAAAAGACATAGCAACTGCACTTCACACAGACACCAAAAGACATCGCAACTGTACTTCACACAGACACCAAAGGACATAGCAACAGCACTTTACACAGAAACAGGGTTAAGAGCACAAGCCATACCAAAAGACATAGCAACTGCACTTCACACAGAAGCAGTGCTAAGAGTACAAGTCACACCAAAGGACATAGCAACTGCACTTCACACAGACACCAAAAGACATCGCAACTGCCCTTCACACAGACACTAAAGACATAGCAACTGCACTCCACATCGGATACAACAACGCACACACCACATCAAAGTGTCACGTTGTTGTTGTTGAGTTGACATTTAATATTTATTTTTAAAAGGTATCTACTTTGCTTACATACGTGTAGGGTTTTAGGGTTGCATGCGAGAGCTAACGTCTCTGCGCACCGCTGACGGCAGCCACACAGTGTCTCCGCAAAGAACCACGAGCCCGCAGAAGAGGACTCTGCTTCAACTGTAACTAGTCGCACCTAATAAGCTGCACCCAATAGCAGTCCCCTTTTTATGATTTGGGTGCATGTACCGAGGCTATGCGTGGGTGACTGCGGTGCCTAGAAGACATCCGTGAGGCCTCCAAACATAGTCTGCGTCTTGATCTTCTCCCACGCCCAGTCGGGGTACTGGTTCATCTGACGCGCCGCCACCATGAACAGCCCACCGAAGAACGCACCCACATACGGCCCAAAGAACGACACCACGGCGTAGTGCCACTCGGACGGTCCTTTGTTGGGGATGGGCAGGACATAGTGGGCCAGACGGGGTGCGCAATCACGCGCCGCATTAGCCGAGTAGCCCTGGGCAGTGGGTGTGCACCAGAATGCAAGGGTGAGTGGACCACAGGTGCAACGGGTGAGCGGATAACAAACAGGTGCAACGGGTGAGTGGGTACGCACCAGGTGCAATGGGTGAGGGACTGGGGAAGCGGCTCAGATATACAAACCAATGTCACCTCAAGTGGCGTAGGTAAGCTAGCTTGGTCATTGTTCAGGCAAGATGCGATAGCGTCTGCGAGAGTATTCATACACATATGTATAATATACATACATACATACCTATATAGATATATAAAGATATATGAACATATTCATACATAAACACATACATATATACATACGTATGTTGTATATGTACATATATTCGAATTTACATAGCTATATAGAGATTTACTTAGGCGTGCATATACATGGAATATATATATATACATATACACATGTACATTTACATATGCA